CACGTGAGCGCTGTATCCCGCTCTCGCAGATACCTGCCGAAAAGCGATTGGGCCACGCGATCATCGGCTAACAAAACATGTTTATCAACGCGGCTCACGCGACCTTAAGATCAGCTGTATTTTGAAAAACAACCGCTAGATAATCTTACAGTGCCCATTTAATTGCAATTTTCCAAAGTGAGTTGAGGTGTGTACTGAATATGGATGAGTGACTCATACTCTGAATTTTATGTCTCAGGTGTTGGAGTGGAGTTTAAGTGGTGGACAACGGACACTTTTTGGGAAGGCAGTCGTCTGTTATCTCAATTATGGAGTAAGTCAGTCTATTCACCTTATTTTAACTATGAAGCGCCGTTTCCGTGGAAAAAATGTAACTGAGTTGAGCAACAAGCAGTGGAAAAGGCTCATCGCTCAATCAGTTGAGGCTGCATGTCAGTCAGCATGTTCTTCAGTCTCAGGCAGTTTAGATCAAAGAAACGTGAGTCTTAATTCAGGAACTTCAATTCCAACTCAACATGTTGGTAATAATAGTATCAGTAACATCAATTGTGTGATAGACAACTTGAATGCTATAGAGAAAGTTGTTCAAGTTCATGAGCTTCACCCTGAACATGTCAGTTGTGAGTATGATAACCTGAGTATGGCAGCTATGAGTAATGCAATGGCATGCACTCTGTCAGCCACTCATGAGAGTGTGAGCAGCATCCCTCTGGATTCTGATAAGGAAGCCTTAAGTCTGGACGATATTAATACAGGCCATGATGTGTTCACAATTACTTCAAGCTCATTTGATGATTTTATGTTGATGTGTGATGAATGTGATAGGTGTGCCTTTGTGTTTGGTTGCTTTCGTGTGGAACCTGCAAGCATAAGATCTTCTCTCTTGAATGCGTTCATTGCAGTAATTGTGCTGATAGCTGTGATAACATTGATTTCAACAGTGATCAAGATAGTGATGATGCTCAAACTTCCCTTCGTAATGATTTAGCTGATTGGGCTGTCAATGGAAATATAACCCATGCTAATTTGCGTTCTCTGTTAAGCATTCTGAATTATCATCATCCAGAGGACGAGCTCCCAAAAGACCCACGTACTCTTGTGGGCACAAGAAGGGAAATTAAGACACGACCTGTTCCACCAGGCCATTACTGGCACAATGGCATTAAATGTAATTTAATCCGTAGCTTTGCTGATGCTGATGAACAGGAAATTTTACTAACATTTAACATGGATGGTGTTCCAATTTCCACATCTTCTCGTAGTACACTTTGGCCTATTCTGTGTTCTGTCAAAGGTTCAGATAAAGTTTTTGTTGTGGGTATATACCATGGATACGGAAAACCTGATTCAGGGAATGAGTACTTGGAGGAAATGGTGCAGGAGCTGTCAGACCTTTGCTTGAATGGGTTGGACATTGGTGTCAAACATTTTCCTATTTCACTATATTACATTGTGTGCGATGCTCCAGCTAAAGCACTTGTGTTAAATGTAAAAAATCATAATGGTTATTACAGCTGTTGTAAATGTGATCAACGTGGGAAAATGTACGGGCAACGTATGTCTTTCCCTGAAACAGAAGGCTTCATGGAGAGGACTGATGACAGTTTCATGACAGAGGCTCAACCAGACCATCATAAAGGGAAAACCATAATTACAACTATACCAGGAATAAAGCCAGTCACCTCATTTGTCTTGGACCCAATGCATTTGTTGTATATTGGTGTAACAAAAAAGTTGCTTTTATGTTGGTTATTCGGCAATCTTAATGTCAAGATGGGCAAGCATATATGTGATGAGATATCCACCATGTTATGTGGTTTCGCCCACTTCATTCCAATTGAATTTGTGCGCAAGCCACGGGCTTTAGAATATGTAAGAATTTATAAAGCCACTGAATTTCGTCAAATCCTTCAATATACTGGGCCAGTTATCTTCTACCATCTAAGGCCTCCTATTTATGAAAACTTCATGGCTTTTCACGTTGCTGTAAGGATATTATCATCTTCTAATNTATGTGTGTCATACAATCATTATGCTGAAGAGTTACTGAAGCACTTTGTTACAAACTTCAAAGTAATCTATGGGGTAGAATATGTAAGCCATAATATTCATGGCTGCTTGCATATTGCTAAAGAAGTCTTAAAGTTTGGATCTCTTGATGGATACGGAGCTTTTAAGTTTGAGAACTTTCTTCAAAAGTTTACGAAGTTTGTTCGTAAGGGAGATAGACCTCTGCAACAAATTGTTAAACGATACTCGGAGCTGGAAGCTGTTGAAGGAAAGAAAAAAATATGCTTGCAGCAAGAAGAGATAAGTTTCTTCATGAGCACAACAATGGACCTCTACTGAATGGTTTCTCACGCCTACAGTACAAGATGTACAAATTAGAGAGTACTGTGATTAATGTGGGAAGTGAAGCCGATTGCTGCGTTGGCTTGACTGATGGAAGTGTGTAGTTCTGGCGAAGAACTTTGCTTATCATACTGTCAGTGGGGAAATCAAATTGATTGGGTTTAAGTACAAGTACAAAGAGGACCTGTACAACTCTCCTTGTTCATCTTCTTTACTTAATGTTTTCAAAGTACATGGCCTGTCATTACTGCGGTTCTGGTCTATTGATAAAATAGCCTTTAAATTCTTTAGAGTACCATTCAAAGACAAATTTGCAGTGCTCCCTCTCTTGCACCAGGAGAAGTCTAAATACTAGACATTGTGGAGACTTCTGCCTGTTTTTGTTCAGATCAAATACACTCCTTGTAATGAAGCTTTTATATCACCACTTTTCTGAGTGTTACTGATGTTTTCTTGGAATTTTTGGAGTTGCATCTTTTGTTTGATTTTTTTTATTTTTCGGTTTTAAATTTTAATGTAACAGAAACAGTGATCCAAATAATCCATACAGCAAGACAGAATAACACAAGGAATGATAGTGCTGTGTTTCAACTGGTTTCAGTCCATCTTCACAGTTTCTTTTGAAACTTATGCGAGAACATTTGATTTTAAGTTATCTGATGTTTTTAAGGATAATATTAACATCAGTTTTTTGTATAAAATTTAAAGCCCATAATAAGAATTTTCATGCTCTGTTTTTTTAGTATAAATATGTGTATGGCTTGTAAAACTATGTTGAAATGTTAAAATTTTTGAAAGTTATTTTTATGTGTATTTATAGAGAAGCAATGCAAAAGTACAAAGTTCCATNNTNTTNTTNTNNNNTNTNNNNTATNANNNG